ATGAGCTCCATGCACAGCATTTTAAAGCTCAGTCAAGGATTTTTTGGACATGGATGTTTTATGAAAATTATAAATAGTGTTTCTAACACCCACAAGTAGTGATGTACATATTGACATGTCACATGCCTTTCCCACGTAATAAGATGAATGCAAGGTCTTCCCCCAACTGTACCTACCACTGACATCACTTTTGTAAATATCCCCTAGAATTCTAAAGTGGGTGGGTGCCATAGTTAACTAAACTTTTCTTTTCCTGATAAACACATACATTCTTTCCCGTTTGTTGCTATGATTAATAGAACTGAAATAAGCATACGTTTTTGGACACATATGCATACTTTCCAATAAGAAAGGTATATTAACATGGGCATTGGGTTAATGTAGAAATGGTGTGAATAGTTTAACTCTTTAGAAATACTGTCAAAATGTATTCCAAAAATACTGTACCAATGAATTTTCTCACAAATGAATAGACGTGAATATCCTACACTGACAGAAAGATTTTGTGTTATCAATCTTCTAATTGTTGGTGAAAATTATGAATAAAATTTGGTGAAGAAATATTGCCTCGCTGTTATTTTAAATTGTGTCTTTCCTTTCTCTAATTCGGTTAAGTACACACTAACTTAATCCCTCAGCCATATGAAGTTGGATTTATACAGTGACATGCTGAGTAACATTTCTCTAGGCATGATTTAAAATTCTGAAATGGAGACACGACATTTCTCAAATCCTTTGAGAAAGATTTGATCAGAATGAACAGGAGCCAGGGAAAGAGAGCAGACAGGACACCCTCGGCCCGTGAGGGTAATAGGGAGGATCCGGCGGTGTTATGGTTTGGTTGTGTCCCCACCCAAATCTCATCTTGAATTGTAGCTCCCATAATCTCCAGGTGTCATGGGAGGGACAAGGTGGGAGGTAATTGAATCACAGGGGTAAGTTTCCCCCATGCTGTTCCCGCCATAGTGAGTAAGTCTTAGGAAATCTGATGTTTTCACAAAGGGCAATTCCCCTGCACATGCTCTCTTGCCTGCTGCCATGTGGACATATCTTTGCTCCTTTGCCTTCTGCCATGATTGTGAGGCCTCCCCAGCCATGTAGAACTGTCAGTCCATTAAAGTTCTTTTTTTTTTTATTATAAATTACCCAGTCTCAGGTATTTCTTTACAGCAGTATGAAAATGAATGAATACAAGGGGAGAGCAAAGGCCAGAGTCCATGAGAGAGACCATATATGAAACGAAGTCCACAGAGTCCCAGGCAGGCTGTCATTCAGAGCTCTGAATCCAGAGTTCAGTCCGGTGGGGGCAGGAACCTGAGGGACAGAAGGGGTAAGGGAAGATGGAGGGCAGGACAATGAACAGGAATAGGCTTCGAAAATTCTAGTATCATAATCACCAGCTGGAGGGGTCCGTGTGATCTGAATGGACAGGCCTGTTGACTGAATGCACCAGCGGTGTGCTGAACACCCAACCCTCCCTCAGAATCCCCTTCCCTCTCTCACGAAGAGTATGGCTGGCTCCCTGCATCATTCTGGGTGAGTTCCCTCTCGACCACTCCAGTGGTTGTGTGCACTTTTGCCAGTGTCCCAGGGCAGGGAGTTGTCTTCATGCCTGCTGCGGGCTGCTGTTTTATCCCCTGTGGACCCTCCATAGAGCCTGGACTGAGCAACAGCCAAGACAGGCCAGGAATATTTATGAGGAGTGTAAGGTGGCAGCATGGCTGCATGGAGAGGAAGTTGGAGGAAGAGTGCCCTGGGACTAGTCAGCTCCAACTCTGCAGATGAAGGACTGACTGTGGACATGCAATGAAAAAGATGCAGGTGGTGACTATGTCTCCGATGGACTCGTGAGACTTCTGATCTCTTGGCACACGAGGAAACAGGTGTCCTGGGGCTCTGATCACTGGTCTATGTTGCCACCAGACAGTGTCTACTGTAGTGGGCTGGCCCATGGTGTATACGTAAGCGGGTTGGATGGCAAGGCAGTGGAGTTGGCACCCTTCCTTGTGGAACTGATGGGGATATGTGGGGTCCAATAGAGGAAGCATCATGCACCATCCTGTTGGGAGCATCCTCACCTCCATGAGAGTGTTTGGGCCTAGGGAGAAGGCATCTGCAGTGACCCGCTCTGTGGTAGTTGCCACGGAATTTCTGAACCCAAAGGAGCACAGGTGAAGGAACTGTGGGTTTCTTCATGCAGGCAGGAGGCCCGGGATAGGCAGACTCCATAATTTGAATAAAAGAATTCCCATGCCTGGTAATTTCATTCATTCCATGCACTTATTAATTCCTACAGAAACTTTTATTGAATATATGCTGAGGAAACACCAAGTCAACAAAACAAAAGAAAGTGGCAAGTCCCTTAATTCAGTCTGTAGGGAGTGTGGGGGAGATGCAGAGGTGGTGTGAATCGCCCACCTGAGCCAGGGAGGCCAGGAAGGCAGAGCCAGACTTGGGGACTGGCAGTGTGCAAGAAAGGGAGCGACAGCCTGTGTCCCGGCCAGAAAGCTCTCCTTCTGACACTGTCGATCTGGTTTTCCTCCTGGATGCTGCCTGTGTGTGAAAGCAACTGCTGCTCTCTGTGCCTACCTGCCTTTGTTAATAGGGAAAATGCTCATGGTTGGTGGATGCTCACTTCTGCTCACCTTGGATCACTTCTACTGAAGGGGTGGTTTGACAGCAAGAAGACAGGAAGAAACTTTTGGGGATGATGAATATATTTTGCACCTTCACTGTGGTTGTGGTTTCATGGGACTAAATATTTGTCAAAACTGTTTGATTTGTTTCTCAGTATTTAGGAGAAAAAGTAAGCAGAAAACCAGGAAGTATACAGATGACCTGAAAAGCACCATTAACTACTCTGACCAAATAAAAGAGTAAGAAAAGCACTGCATTCAAGATTGGCAGAATAAACAATCCTCTCAAGTGTGCATGAAATATTTCCCAAGATAGATGGTACTCTGGGCCATCAAACAAAGCTTACAAATTGAAAAGAATAGAAACAATAGAAAGCCTCTTCTTAGACCATAATATAATTAAACTCAAAACCAAACACCAAGATATCTGAAAAATGCCCAAACATTGGAAATTTTAAAATATGCTCCCAAATAACCTATGGGTCAAAGAGGGAGTCTCAGGAGAATTCTAAAAGTGCATTAAGTTGAATGAAAATAAAAATATACATACAAAAAGTGGGATTCAGCTAGAGTGTTTCTTTGAGGGAAATATATAGCATATTTTAAATGTTTATATTAGAAAATAAAATCTAAAATCAATAACCAAAACAATCACCCTAGGAAACTAAAGAAAGAAGAGCAAGTTGAATTTAAAGAAATTGTAGAGGATCCCCCCTCCCTCCCTTCCCACATTCCCACCTCTTCCCCCTTACTCCCTACCCCCACCATTTGAGACACACAGACACACACATCATTTTACAACATGTTCATTTTATTTCCATCACCATGGGGCATACCCTGTGGGGTGTAAAATGTACTCTACACCCTGTTGGCTACTTATTTGCGGTTAGACCTCTGGAGACTTTACAGATAGACTTGAGGTCTCTGGCCTTGCCCAGGAATTACTGGTTGCCCAAGGAGTTGCTGGAGACGGTGGAAGTCTCCATGTCCTTGTGGTCCTGCTGTGGCTCATTTTGATTGAGTTCCTCGTTTGGCTGGTCAGAGTGGCTGGACAGTGGTGGCCCACTCCATTCCTCAGGGTTTTTTGAAATGGTGGTCTTTCAGGGAGAGACTTTTGTTCCTGGAACTTCCTTGGCGGGTCCCTTTTCCCTTCCGCGTTGTCTTGGGAACCTGGAAGGACAACAGGGAGATCAAAGAAGGGCACTGGTTTGGGGAAGAGGATGGGGGAGGGGGGAGAACAGAGGCTTCACAGAGAAATGATACAGACTGGGGTGGGCGTTTTGCCAGGGGAGCACAGGAGTCAGAGCTTGGGTGGGCCGTTCACTTTGATAGGGCTTCTGGGCCGGGGTTGAGAGGATGCTTTCCCCTTCCTCGCCTCTTTGGTGTTGGCGGGTGGTTTTTGGACAATGGGCTGGAGGCTCGTGGTTTCCTGGACATCTTCACCACACCAGCATCTCTCAACAATCTACTCCAGTCCACCTGGTCTCCCCATGCCTCCTCCAGGACAG